CGACCCACATATCGAGAAATTCGAAGAACACTGCTCCCCTAAGAAAAATGTCACATACGAAAGGTACAAGCTCAACACATGCTCACAAAATGGCCGATCGCTCGACGTCTTCCTCGTGGACCTACGAAATAAAGCAAAAACCTGCGAGTTCGGAGAGCTGCAAAACAGTCTGATAAGGGATCGAATCGTATGTGGAATCGACAATAATTCCGTAAGAGAAAGACTCCTACGAGATAACACTCTAACCCTCGACAAAGCCATCAACACCGTCCGAGCAGCCGAGACAAGCCACGCACAAGTCAAAAACCTAGCAACACAACCACTCGAAGCAGCTGCCATCCAAACTACGAGAGCTAGCTACCAAAAGCGAAGCCCTCAACAAAAAGGAAAACCTTGTAGACGTTGTGGTACACATCACCTGATTAACCAATGTCCAGCTTACGGCGAAAAGTGGTCAAAGTGTCAAGGCAAAAACCACTACGCCAAAATGTGCTTCGCTAACACTTCCAAACATAAACTCCACGAAATCACTCAAGAAACCCCTCAAGAAACTCAAGACGGTGTTGAAAACTACGACGAAATTTTCCTCCGTGAAATAAACAAGCCTAACGGAAACGAACTACTCACTAGCATTAAAGTAAACAACAAAGTCATCAGCTTCAAAATCGACACTGGCGCTCAGTGCAATATAATGCCACTCAGCGTGTTCACCTCACTAAACGACAAACCAACTCTTCACCAGACAAACACCAAAATAAAGGCCTACGGAGGAACCCAAGTACCAATTCGTTGTAAATGCTACATGAACATCGAACACAACAACAAGAAAATATATAGCGAATTCTACGTCGTTGAAATCGACAACTCGAAGCCACTGATTGGTCTACAAACATGCCGTGACCTCGACCTCATTAGCATAAATGATGTCTGTGAAATTCACCAAACCGAACAAAACATTTTCGTAGAGTATCAAGATGTTTTCAAAGGTATTGGCCTCGTCAATGGTGAATACCACATCGAAATTAAAAGTGATGCTAAACCTACAATTCATCCACCAAGAAAAGTCCCACTGAGTTTAATGCCACGCTTGAAATCAACACTAGAAAATCTCACGGAGACAGGAATTATCGGCAAAGTTGACCGAGCTACAGACTGGGTAAACAGCCTGGTCATAGTAGAAAAAAGAAATGGAATGCTACGACTGTGCCTAGATCCCAAACATCTAAATCAAGCCATTAAAAGAGAGTACTACAACCCACCGTCAGCCGAAGAAATCTCAAATAAACTCAGTGGCACTGAGTTGTTCACTGTAATTGACATGACAAGCTGCTACTGGCACAAGAAACTTGACGAAGAATCTTCTTACCTTTGTACATTCAACACTCCATTTGGGAGATATAAATTTAACCGGATGCCATTTGGAATCTGTTCAGCATCTGACGTCGCGCAGAAAATGGTTGACGATAATTTTTCAGATATCCCTGGTGTACTTGCAGTCTATGATGACATCATCATCGCTGCTAAAGACAAAGAAGAACTTGACAAAGCACTCATCAAAGTCCTCGATCGTGCCAGAGATGGAAACATCAAGTTCAACAAAGAGAAAATTCAACTACGCGTCAAAGAAGTAAAATATCTGGGCAACATCATAAACGCCAAAGGGTTCCACCCAGATCCAGAAAAATCAATGCAATCCTAGAGATGCCCAAACCACAGAACAAGCAAGATCTACAACGTTTATTAGGTATGGTCAATTTCCTGTCACAATACATACCCAACATGTCTGAAATTACAGCCCCATTAAGATCATTGCTTAAGAAAGATATTGCATGGATCTGGCTCGCAGAACATGATGAAGCTGTTACCAAGATAAAGGAAGCACTAACCAGCAGACCTGTCCTTAAGTTCTTTGACAACGACCAGCCAATAACTCTGCATGTTGATGCATCACAAGGGGGCCCTGGAGCTTGTCTGATTCAAAACGAACACCCTGTCATCTATGCATCTAGATCTCTTAACGATGCAGAAACACAGTATGCACAAATCGAGAAAGAACTTCTCGCCATAGTATTTGCATGCGAACGCTTCAACCAATATGTTTATGGACGAGAGATCATAGTAGAAAGCGACCACAAACCACTGGAAGCAATAATGGCTAAGCCACTATGCCAAGCTCCACCCCGGATTCAACGCCTCTTAATAAGACTACAGAAGTATCAAGTAACAATGAAATATGTTCCTGGAAAATACATGTTCATAGCTGACACTCTCTCTAGAGCCTATCTCAAGACCGACGGTGAACAACTAGACCTCAATGATGACATCGAAGTCATGGTTCACAGTTTAGTCACCAATATCCCGGCGACATCAGAGAAAATAGCTGAACTCAAAGCTGCTACCAAAGAAGATGAAACCCTTCAAACTCTAAAAGAGACAATCAAGCAAGGTTGGCCAAAACACCGACAATCAGTACCAACATGCATCACACCCTACTGGAATGTAAGATATGAACTGAGTGAAGCCGAAGGACTCCTATTTAAAGACAACAGACTCATCATCCCATTATCCATGAGGAAAGATATGCTACAATTAATCCATGAAAGCCATCAAGGCATAGAAAAGTGCAAGAATAGAGCTAGATCAGTGATATACTGGCCAGGTATGAATAATGACATTATTACTGTTGTATCTAATTGTACCGTTTGTGCCACCTTTAGAAGCCAGAACCAAAAGGAACCCATGATACCACATGAGATACCTGAGCTCCCCTGGCAGAAAGTAGCATCTGATCTATGCGAATACCAAGGTAAAACCTACCTCGTGATTGTAGATTATTTCTCAAAGTACATCGAAGTCAGTCTGTTACCAAATAAAACTGCAAAAACTGTCATCACACACACAAAGTCAATTTTTGCACGTCATGGTATACCACAAGAGCTCATATCAGACAACATGCCATTCAACAGCAGAAAATTTAGAGGGTTTGCAGAAAACTGGGGATTCAAAGTCACCACATCTAGTCCCTCATACCCACAATCCAATGGGCTTAGTGAAAAAGCTGTGCAGACTGTCAAGAGGATCCTAAAAAAACCTCAGACCCATATATTGGTCTCCTCGAGTACAGGAACACCCCTGTCACCGGTATGTCATATACACCATCACAACTACTAATGAGTAGAGCAACCAGGTCCAAACTACCTGTATCAAAAGAATTGCTACAACCCAAGGTAACAACAGATGTTACAAAAGAATTGAAACGATGCCAACAGACACAAAAACACTATTATGACCAGAACTGTAGACCATTGTCACCACTCACGGAGAATGAAGGTATAAGGCTACGTCAGAACAACACTTGGGTCTCAGCCCAAGTACTATATCCCGCAACAACACCTCGCTCTTACATAGTTGCAACACCGAATGGCCAAAAGTATCGACGCAACAGACGACATCTCTTGAAGACTGAGGCAACAGCCGATTTCACCACAACAGCCTTACTGAGCACAGATGATGATAACCAGGCTGAAGCAGAAACCACTGTTGACGAACCTGGAGCATCTTCACCCACTCCTCCACTTAGAAGGTCCACAACAACCCGAACAATACCTACTAAATACAATGACTATGTAACGTTGATTACAAATATTAACACTTTATAGACTGTTAAAAAAATCTCTTATCTTCCTGGTATTCCATTGAGAGCCAAGTTATGTTTATAATTTTGTCCTATTGAAAGAAGGGGGATGTAATGATAGTTGCCCCTTATGGGACACCCTGAAGCGGGCAACACCCCGAAGCGGGCATTCGTTAGTTGATAGTTAAATAAACAAGTATACACGACAGCACTCGTGCTTTTTGTATTACTTTACTACATGTACTGTGTTTTTCACGCAATGCTGAAGCATTATTTTCAAATGGTATGCTGTCGGTATCGTAATTGTTTTTTTTTCTCACTTGTTTTCGTTCATATAAACAGTATTGGAAATCAGGAGGGAGTGAATATTGAAAAAAAATTTTAAAGTGACCAACAAAATCCGCCATTACCGCCATGTTTTTGACCACGGGGTCCAGGCCCCTTTCCCCCTCCAGGTCTTATAGAACTCAATGGTCGTTGCTTGCAAATTTTGAGTAAGTTGAAGGCACGGGTAAGCTTTAACTCAGCCCATTGAAGTAAATATATCTGGAATGCTAACTCCACTGAGTTCTATAATAACTGAAGCGGCTATCTCAAGAGCGGCTTTAAATATTGTATGACGCCAAACAAATGGAGGATTTTGTCCTATGCCGCTGAGATTTACCGAAATTGACAGCTTATTTGAAAATTCCGCAATTTTCCACTCCCAAATACACAAAATGTATATTTGTATTTCGGATTCGGCAAGCAATTTTTCGATGAAAATCAAGGTAAAAACCTTAAATTCAAAATTTGTGTTTTAAATTATAGCTTACAGCTGTTTGCTTGTTGCTGTTGCTCATTTTGAAACTATTTCAAAAATAGTCCTACACTTTTGAAACGTAGTGTTTGGAGAATCCACTAGATTTGTTTTCTCATTAGCAGATTTTTTCACTTAATGCTTGAACGTAAGGTTTATTTTATGGGCTTTATATGTATTTATCTTAGTGTGCATTATGCTGAAGTCTTTTATTTGCTGATTAAATAACTTCCCAGTGCATCCAAATACTCTAATGAAGTGCAACAACTCAGTGATCTACAGTGGTCTACATCCGCAAACATGTAAAAACCATGTTCTGAAGTATATAGCAAACGATCAAAAGAAATCGATCACCAAATTATTTCTTCGAAACTCTACGCGACACTTTAGTTTAAAACTTATCGAGGAGGCATTACTTTAATATTTGCTCATCTGGCTGGCAAAATTAATGTTAAGAATTTGGTGATGATAAATTAACTTAGAAAAATACATCTAGTCACATACAATATGAAGATACAATCAAACATTTTCAATGATACAAATGCTCATTGATCATAAATTTAATACCTCTCCAGAATAACGCTGATATCTTTTCCCTTCTCTTTCTTTTCATTTCCAACCAAACCAGCAGCAAATTCGATTACCAAATGCCATTTAGGATCTTCAACATGATCATCCAAAAACTTTCCAATGTTTTGCCAATCGTCAACAATATACCACGCTGCAAAAAACTCTTGAAGAGTCAAATGAAGAAAACAGTAAAGATGGCGTTTATCATCATAAATCTTATTGAAAATGCCACAGTTTTCCAGATTTTTAAAGTTACTGTTACTTTTTCTTTCAAAAATCAGGCGTCCGTCTTTAAGCCCTTCCATGGCAACATATTTTATTTCTTGTAGATCTTTATCAAGCTCAGATGGTAAAGGAATTCTCAAGTAATCCTTTTCTGTAGTCTTGCCCCTGAGAAGGGGATGGCTTTTCCATAGTAAAACTTTAATTGCTCTATCGTACAATTCAGTGATAGTCTTTGGACTATAGTTTTCATCATCTGCAAAACATTCCTTTAAGGTCATACAAACAATTTTAGTGTTAATAGGGATGTAACAAAAGCTGCGAAGTTCAAGAGAAATTTCAATCTTATTTAGAATACGGTCAGCAATATTTCTATCTTCATGACAAAACTTTTCCACGAATTCTTTTATCTCATCCTCAAAAAAGCCCAAGATTTCAACTGTCCTTGCGAATTCCATATCTCGAAATTTATGTTCAGCTGTGGGTCGTGATGTAATAAGAACAGTAACATCAGGCAATAGTTTACCTTCAACTAGCATACTTAAGTGTGTAATGACGTGCCTTTTATCATTAGGGGACCCTGAGTCGTCAGTTCGAAGATCTCCATTATCTAAAGGCAATTCATCAAGACCGTCGACGATAAGAACAGTTCTTTCAGGATTTAACATTATAAATTCGTAAATATCTGAAAACAGTTCAAATGAAAATCCAACGCAACTCTTTAACATTTTTTCAAAAGTAATGTACTTCTCTTTAATCGCACGACATTGCAATAAAATGACCAGCTTATCGCGCCAAAAGTCGTCTTCATTTGTCTTCCATTCATGAATAAGTTTTTTCGTCAACATAGTTTTACCAATTCCTGGCCTTCCGATGACTAAAATGGAGCTAGGATACGACTTGCTATTTGGAATTGACTTAAAAATGTCAGTTGCTCTTGTGAGTTTTTCGCACTTTCATTAGGTTTGAAATGACAATGAAGGATCTCGTGTCTTTCATGCGTTTCTGGGTAAGCTTTACTTAATTGTCTTTCTGCTTGCATTATGACGTTGACATAAATATCTTCAAGATTTTGGACAGACATTTGTGCATTGCCTACGTTATCGTGGATATTAAATAATTTGTTCAAGTGAAGTTTATTTTTATTTCTTTTATCCATTTTCGAAATTCTGCACGTTTTGGAGTATGTATACCGTGAAAACTCCTTATCTGATGTGAAAAAATTGTCATTACTGGCCTTATTTAATAGGTATATTAGCTGACATATCGTCATTATTATCGATAAAACATCAACAGCTACAACAAATTTAATCCACCATTCACTGTTACCATCGCGAATTTCACAATTAAGGAAAGTTTCGTTATATGGAGGAAGAATTATACTGTTGAACGAAGAGTTTTCGTTTGTTGTTGGACGCCACGAACAAGAATATGCAATGGGAAACATGGATGGAAACAGTACTGTAACAAATATAGACAACCCGATCACGCGTACAGTCAAATAAATGATGTAATAATAGAATGCCCAAGAACTAGATGCAACCTTTCTGACTTCACTGCTTCTTTCTGACAAGAACTTATCAAAGTTTTTAAGTCGATTGCTCACAGACTGTCCATAGATCATACCCCAAAAAAAGAGAAAAAAGAAATTGAAGGACACCACATATATATTATCCCAAGTTTCATTTTGGTATTGTCTCAAACAACTTGATTCAATGTTCTTTATAAGAGAAGTTTCTTGGAATTTTGAAATCATCTTGTCATTACAAGTAAAAGAAGTTTGACGATCGAATGTTTTTGAAATTCCAGGAGCGATGATTGTAAATGTCAAATAGATAGACAGCAGTATTTTTTCAAACAAGGGAAAACAATTCAGTGGTATGACTCTGAAAATAGCATCCATTTTCGTATCCTTTAAAAAGTAATGAAATAGACATGACCAATTTAGTTTAAACAATCCCCGTATAGACATAGACCACATTTGTAAGAGCATAAACTGCAGTATAAAATAATACAGACCATTATTTGTGGCTTCAGTTAGCTCCACACAGTTTGTCTTCCAGATTGTATATATGAACAATTTCAGCCTATATTGTAGTAAAAAGGTATAATTTGGTTGCAATATTTAGTAGCTATGAAAAAAAAAATCCAGTACATGCAATAACAAAAATAGTAATAATACTATAATAATGATAATTTTAAATTTTAGCAGGTCAATCTTGTAAGTTTAAAACGTACAGCTGTTTTCATTAGGATACCTGCATTCAAATTATTTCAGTAAAATAAAAAAATTACTAGAATTTATGCGATAGAGTTCCATAATAAAAAACATTTAAAATGTCCAAAAGGTTAAAAGATAAAAAATACGATAGTATACACTAAAAAATTACAAATTAGTTTAGATTATAATATAAATGATACTTAAAATATAATATACGCTCGTCCTTCAATCTTAGTAAAGGTATTTCTCTTTTATAGCTCTATGGAAGTTAAATACTTTAGCAGTTTCGCAATATAAATGTTCCGGAAGATATTGGGATTATTTTGAAGAATTTTCAAAATCAGTTCGATTAGGGTAACTAATGGGTTTTGTTTTCCATAGCACGATTTTTAACAAATTTTGTAAAATCTTGAAAAGCTTAAGCACATAACGTACATTGATTTAGTTATACGATATCCTAAAATACCTATCATTTCTTTCTAAAATACCTATTTTAGAATATTGTGAATTCAAGCAAATAATTAAAAAATAACGCGTTATAAAATAGGGCGTTATAAAAAATCTGTAGCTTGCAAACCAAACGTCACTGAATATGGAATATACAAAAGGTTACTCGTGTCGGACCCTTTGATGTTTTTGTCCTCGCGTATGTTAGGCCGCGCATTTCGGCAGCCATTATTCCAGTAAGATGTTTAGGACTTTTCACTTGTTCCAAACCACTGAAATGACACGACATCATTTCTTATATTGAAATTATTTCCATTTCATTGTGAAAAAATGACGTCATGTAATTACAGTGGTTGAAAACAAGTGAAAACCCGAAGTATCTTGCTAGAATGATGGCGGCCGTGAGGACCCAGTGCTCACTTGAGTGGCCCTTCTGTATAATTTTTATTCTGTGAAAACGTGTTTTACTGATGACGTCACAAGTTATTAACATGGCCACTTGAAAAGTTCACACATTAGGTCCGTATTCAGCAATAAAATTAACTAACTTCTAGCGAACTGAAAATATTTATTTATATATCAAATTAAATCTAGCATTGTGGATTTTTAGTTACAGAGAAAAAAAGAGGCGATCAAAAACTTTAAACAAGGCAGATGGTCAATCCGTTTGTACTCCTGATGATGACCTCGTGTACCTGTGGATTTACCTGAGAAACGTCACGATGATAAACACCATGTTCCTGAGAGTGAAAAGCTCACAACACAATTGTCTGAATGTTCATTTGAGTCCATGCCTTCATTGTTTATTAACATCATTTACCTTGATGTTGCCACCTCTTTCTGACTGGCTGATAATGAGGATGAAACAAGTACTGAATGCGTAATTACTGTGCATATGTGTAGATTATCACACAAATCTACACTTTGTGCAGATTTAATATACTGTTTATCTAGAAGAGGACCGATTTTAAGCAACTGAACTGCTAACATTTCTCAATAAATTCCCTGAAGAATTCTAACAAAGGGTCTTTTTTGACAGCTTCGCTACCCCAAGTGGAAGGAGCATGCTACAAATATCTACGCTATTCTTGAATGATTTTGAACAGACTCCCACTGCGTATAATTTTATAAATCTTAAAGTCACAAATTGAAAATAACATGAAATGCCGTAGAATTATTAAACTTTCATAACTTTTCAGTAACATTAGAAGTAGTGTACAGAATGCAAGAAGTTCTGATAAATTTGTCTTCAGAATCATGTGTTTAATTAGCTATAATTATTCATCATCCACAAAATGTATTAGTTTCAGCAATTAAAAGTGAACATACAACAAATATCTATGCTATTAAATTACTATGAAAAGAATCTTACTGTTAAATGATTTGATATCCTTCATAAAATAGTTGCAAACATCGTGATTTTAGATGTATTTATGAGCTTTCACCTATATTTATTACGCCACGTGTAAATTCAAAATGTGATTTAAATAAAGTCGTGGCAAAGCAACGTCACCATGAAAATGTGAAGATGTGAAACAAGAGTTTACGCTGACAACATGTATGGAAATATTTATCGAATTACGTGCAAGGTTCACACTCTTTGCTTCATTTATTGCTCATTTTAGTATCCCAATATTTGGTAAATATTTTTGTTTTATTTAGTAAATTTCATAAAAGCACAAGTACAAATCAAGAAAATAAGAAACAATTTCTCTCACTTACGTCCGATCCTTTTTGTCTGTACGTTAAGGAATAGGTGGGACTTGAAATTCTTTACCAAATACAGGCTTCTTTACATCTCACTATGTAACGGAAATGATAAAAGCAAAGAAAACAGGATCTTGTTATACTCTATCATCAGAAAATTCCACGCGTGTTGGCAACGCCAAGTCCAAAAACCAATAAAATACTTGCTATTACGGTTTCTCGCGCGTGCGTCACGAAATAATGAAATGCGTGATTATGTAACTACTGCGTCACACAATGATAGTATTGCATTTATGGTAATTTCAAAACTAATGTGGTCTATATTCTTGTGTAATTTCATTTGTACTGTGATATCAAACTATGCAAATAATTAGCGATTTATTAACTCTGCGTATAATAAATTTTAAGCAATGACGACAAAGTTAACAAAACACTATCATTAAAGTTGTGACAGGACTTTCAAAATTTTAACAATACATGTAAATATAAAAATTATTCATCATGTGAACATATCGTGATTCATTATAATTAAATCATAATATTATGTAAAATTACATATTGTATACTATCAAATCCTTTTGTAATTATTTACATAAGGTATTGTTATGAATATTGTCAGCTCCATATTAATCCTTATTAATGTCACATTATAGGAATATACAGTAGGGCCACTTCGCTGTGCAACTGGCTGCTGTATATTTAATTCGTTTACAGGCTGCCGTTTTTCATATCGTCGATGGTATTGGTCATACAATGCAATTTACTGGCTGCCAATATGGTAATCACATGCGTAATAAGATATACGTGGCACGTAAAAATAAATGGACTGGTCCTACTGTATGTTCTCTATAATATGACACTGTCGATGAATGTTCGTTCAAGCCACTTTCCCTCAAGAAATCTTTTTTTGTCACACGCTTTTTTAATCTGTAGGTTAAAGTGTATGGTTTAATGACGTTAAGGTTTTGTACTAGAGCCTTCTTTGTAAATTTCTTATCGGCAAACGTAAAGCAATAAAGTCAGCATGAACGTTTTTCTCTCAGCAGCCGTTCTAATTATCAAACATGTTGTATAGAAACTCATTGTGGTCAAAGTCAATGAAGCTTTGAGTATATCCATAGTCTATATAGACAGTAAACATTCAATTTATTTTATGAAGTATGCAGCTTAAAAAACTAATGTTTAAAGCTGAAAAAATTCTGAAAGTTTACCTCCTTACTTTCTTTATTTGTTGCAGTAGCGGATCTAGGGGTAGTCACAGCGAGCAGCAGCAAGCCAAAATAAAATAAAGCTGCTTAATTTTAAATTCTAAGAACGCAGATTATGTCATTTTTCAAAATTTTAAGTACAAAGAACTGTAATACTGGTTTCTATGAGTCATTATCATAGTAAATATTTTTCCAACAGTTAAAAATAATACGTGAAAACGTTTACTGCCCTTATCAACAGGCGAATTCCTAGAAGTGTACCTCCCCGCAAATACACTTTCAAAATAAATCAGTCAGGGACGCCTGAATTTACGAACAAAGAACTTCCAACGTTCAACGTTCTAGATACGCAACTGATCATAACCTCTCGCTTAATTTCAAGGTCTGCAGCAGGCTATTCAAACACTATGATGTCAAATCATAATATTATGTAAAATTACATATTGTATACTGTCAAATTCTTTTGTAATTATTTACAAAAGGTATTATTATGAATATTGTCAGCTCCATATTAACCGTTTATACTGTCACAATATAGGAATATACAGTAGGGCTATTTCGCTGTGCAACTGGCTGCTGTATATTTATTTAATTTACTGGCTACCGTTTGCAGTATCATCAATTCTATGGGTCACACAATGCAATTTACTGGCTGCCAATATGGTAATCACATGCGTAATAAGATATACGTGGCACGAAAAATTTAAAGAGCTGGCCCTACTGTATGTTCTCTATTCTGTGATACTGTCGATGAATGTTCGTTCACGCCACTGTTGTAGTAGCGGATCTTGGGGTAGTCACAGCGAGCAGCATCAAGCAAAATAAATTAAAGCTGCTTAATTTTAAATTTTAAGTACAAAGAACTGTAATACTGGTTTCTATGAGTCATTATCATAGTAAAGGTTTTTCCAACAGTTAAAAATAATACGTGAAAATGTTTAATGCCCTTATCAATAGGCAAATGCCCTTAAAGTGTGTAGCAAATTTATCCTTTGTGCGTTAGCACAAAGCAGTTAGGCTTCTGCCGTTTCGTTTTTGGGACTGTATAGTCTCCTACTGTACGCGCAGTCGACACACAATTCATAATTTTACTCAATATAACTATTCCAATATAACTATTTCACATCACAGATAACCTTAAACATTTCAAGCTTTTACATTCACAGACAGCGACAAAAGAGCCCTGACTTTTAACGTGTCACAACTAATAAAATATTAACATAAGTTCCTAGTATTAAAGAATAATTATCCATTACTTATTTACATAAGTTCCGACACACCCCTTTGAGCCTTTAGGGTCAAACAAAACTTTGTTCGCCAGCATGCATCCACAGCTGCCACCCTTCTAGGTCTCCTATGACTTTCTACACTACTACCCTTTTCTGAAACTTCTCTCTCTCACTTCTTTCTATTTCTGCACAACTGTCTTTACTTTACCCTTGCATCCATCTCCAGCGGGTACAGTTTCTAAAGAGGCCTGCCTATGTGCATTAGCCTTCCTTTGCTAACAGCTTTGACTTCCGCTCCTCTGATTATATTATCTTTTCCCTTGATCAATCTCTCGATTCTTTTCAAACTTTCCTCAGACACAAGAACTACATAACCCACTTTCGGACACAAACTACCCTTTACTTTGCTAACCTTATGACACGCCCTTAAACTTGTTTAGTATTCCTTCCCCAATCTGGACCAAAAATGCTTTCTCAATCTCGCTAAATATCTAAACCTACGCTTGACTCTCTAAATCTTCTATCCACTTCTTTTCACCTCTTCCTACGTTCTTTCTTGTCACTTTCCAGCTCATTATCCCATTCAGCTTTCTCAATACACAGCTCCTGAAACAATAACTTGGCACAAACTACAACTGGACTTATAATACCTAAGGGATTGAATAATCCTGCAAGTATACTTAGTATATTTCGTTTACTTAGAATGAGTGCCTTTGCTGTTTCAGCCAATTTCCAGAGGCGAAATACAAAGCGATCTGACTTACACATTCCCATCGCAATCCTAGTACTTTCTCATAACTTCCACTGATACCTTTTCCCCAACTGATGCTTTGGCATAAGTTTGCTCATGAACCACTTTCGAATTGCTAAATTCTGCCTTTCTTTCTTCTAAAATGCTTCTTTCCCTCTTTTCTGTTTCTTTCAAGACATTCTCATCACTACTTAGCCACTCCCAAAGCCTAAATCCTTCCGCAGCCAATCACTCACTTGTTGACTCATAAAACCTCATTACTTTCTTCTTGGACTTTTCACCTGACATTAGATCAGTGACATAAAAGCTATCTTTGAGTTTTTTTTAACAAACTCCTTGTCTATCTCTATTAATGAGTCTAAATGATACTGCAGTGTTGCATTCAACAAAAATGGAGAGCAGTTAACCCCAAACACTACTCTAGAAAATCAACATTCTTAAGGTCTCACTCTCTCATTGTTTATGTCATCAACCATAAAAATCTTAAGCAATCCTCGTCCAAAGTATCAACTTCTATATTCAAAAATATCTTTTCAATATCTGCCACTAAAGCGACTCTTCAATATCTGCCACTAAAGCGACTCTTCAATATCTGCCACTAAAGCGACCTTATCAAATTTGAAAAAGCAATGGTGCTAATTTGGGTCCCACATGCAAGCAGTCATTGAGTGAGGAAGCCTTGCGTGACTCTTTACACGACGTATTATAAGCAACTCTAACCATAGTTGTTTTTGCTTCCCTGCGAATAACCGCATGATGTGGTAAATAATGTATTTTGTCAGCTTTCTCTAGTTCTATCACTGGTTCTACAATATCCCTCCTCAATTGACCTTTGATTGTCTTATCATACTCTTCTAAAATTTCTGGTTCCCTTTTCAGCCGTGCTAACTAACCCTTTATTCTTCTCAAGCTTATGCTGTAATTTGTATAGTCTAAACTATGTCCTTCTTTCCAAGGCAATTTGACACTGTATCTGTTACCATTAAACACAATAGAATCCCTTAACAATTCATGAACTTCATTTTCCTCTGCTATTCCTAAAGTCTCAAAATCCTACAAATGATTGACATTCTTATCTAAACTTAAATTTTCTGAACGTTCATGTGCAATGAAGTTTACTTGAGTGTGCATGTTATCCAAATCATTTTTCGCTTTCATGGGGCCGGACAACACCCAATCTAACTTAGTAGACACAGCAACTGGTTCATCTACCTATCCCTCAACAGCATTGCCTTCCTGAAACCACCAAAGATAATCTGCTCCATTCCAAACTTCAATATTTAAAACTTCCTTATCCATGCAAACATCTGAAAACCACAGACCATTAAATGTGAATAGTCCATCTTTCTTAATTCTACATGTTCATTCCTAATTTGAAATATACAGTCTACACTGTATGCCTTGATGCTTACACTCTCTCCTCCCGTATTTCTAATTGAAATACCTCTCGCAACTTACCTTTAGCCTTCTCTTAACCAAACAACTTGATTTCTGTCCATTCCTTTTTACTAACCTGAATACCTGCTCCCTGTATAATCTTTCTATTCACACATGACTTGTGAATTCCTGAATCAAACAACACTCTGACCCTGACATGTCTCTTATCTTCCTAAATAAAAGCCTGTGCTGTCTTTAATGCTATCTTACAATGAGATCCCAGAATAGAATGGTTGGTTTGAACGTCGCCTGTGAGAATCCCATTGGCTTCACAAATTGATCTATGGTGTGTCTTCCCTCATGCATTAAATTTATCATTAATATTACAATTCTTACTGACATGTCCTTTCTTCAAACAAATACAACATCTTCCGTACTTACGAATGAGTTGTTTTTTCTCAGTACATTGGTTATTTTCTTACATTCCTCTGGATGTGTTCTCCGAGACAATAAACG